CCAAGTGAGGCCCCGAGCTCCATAACAGGTTTCGTTTCATGGCTGGAGCTCCTCAAGGTGCCGCGTCGACACTTCAGCCCGACAGGGATGTCGGCGTCAGCGCGGTGGCGTCCGCCGCGGCAGAGAGGCGGTCTGGACCGGACCGTCCTGGTCTTTGCTATCAGCGTCGTGGTCTCACCCGGGCAGAGCTGCAGATGGTTACATGCATACATGTGCCGGTAGAGAACCCATATTGTCAAAATGACAACAAAAATATTTTAATATCACAATGACTATACCTACTATGTTATATACTTTTCTAAATATTCTATTTCTATATGGCTTTTGTAGAAAGACCTAAGTAAATTTAATTTTAAGTTAAATTTCAGTTTCCAGTTTAATTTCATTTTAAGTACAAAATAATTTGATTTCGGGAGAAGAAATTTGCGTTAAAATGTGCGTTTTATTGCCTATTTAGCGACGTAATTGTGTATCTGTGTGCTGTTTTTTGTACCATACCTATTACTCACTTGTGTTGACTATTTGTCATCAGACAAAACCGAGTCTCGAGCTTCCTTTTCCCCGCTCCGAATCAGCAGCGGCGCTGATTTGAAGCCGCGTGCGCGGGAATGCGTGGGATTTACGGGGCTCGGGACTGACGTTTATTGAGCAGGCGTGCTGGAGGATGCCATGTAGCTCCCTTTGATGGATCTCTGCACTTCCTGCTACAAAGATGGAGGCCTCTCCCGTAACCACACAACCCCTTTCAAGGGGTGTAAGAGACGCCCTTCGGGCAAGGTTCCGGGATCAGTCGGGTTCAACCCCCCCCCTGCGACCCCCTCCTCCCCAACCATAACTGTAACCATCAGAGGAGTAAACACAACACTGACCTTAGATCAGCATGTAGAGGCAAATCCAACCCGTGAGCCAGTTCTGGAGGCCCATATGTGGTCCATATGGAACTCCTTCCTGCCTGTATGCGTGGAAAGTGCAACGAACACAATCTGACGCCCGTCTGTTCGAGTCGCAAAATAACAGTTACAAATAAAATGAAAATGAATGATCTTCATGGCAACTATATATATTTATATCGATTTAAAAAAAACGGCTTAGGTTGGCAGGAAATGGTGTCACGAAGGCCGTTTCTCCCGCTGCTGCTCCCCGCAGACAAAAGCGTCTGGCTTAAGGTCACGTCCATCCTCTGAGCCTTCAACGCCTCCAGAGTATCATTACGGGCGACCAACGTTTAACTCTTCTGCTGTGAGTATAAGGCTGTATTATAGTCTCCTCCATGGCGTCCCAGCCAGGGGTAATGATTTCAACATGTCACTCCAGGCCGACGGCACCGTGATTGCACGGATGATTAGCTCTTACAGTAATGGTCGTAGTCGAGCATACTTCAGGAGCAGGTCGGCGGGGAAGGGGGGGGGGGGGTTTCTTCTTGGTGTCCCGGTGCCTTTCGTGGCACACGCTCACAGCTTTAATTCATACGTGCGGGCGAAGGACGCTTGTATATACGTGAAAAAGTACAATCGTGCGTGCAGTCGTGCTGGGAAAGTCATTTCCATATTCGCGCTGCTCCTGAATCCTGCGGACGCGCGTCTGTTTGATGTGTCCGGAGCTGCAGCACAGATGCCACAGTTTCATGCTGGACGTCATCTGACTGGCTGTTCTCAGAATGCCGAAGGGAGGGGAAAGAAAACACCACGTGCACCACCTCTGAAATCTGTGTGTGTGCAGCACACGAAGGAGAGAGAAGAGAAGAAAAAAAAATCCAAAGTTTGAAAAAGACTCCAAAGCTCTTCGCTGGTCTCATTTTTGCGTCCCACCCCGGCACGGAGCCAGCGGAGATCTCCCACGGCGACTGAGCCCCTCCGCCTCACCGAAGATACACGGCGTGCCACATACTTTCCCCTTCCGGCCCCGGCCCAGAAATCTGGGAATCGTTTTTTTTTTTCGCAGCCCTTATGATTTGGCTTGTTTGGCGCTGCAGATATTTTTCGGTGCGGTTTGCTGCCCACCAAACGAAACGAAACGAGCCCTGCCACGCTAGCGGGCCGCCGCTCCCACTGTTTTTTTCTCATCAGTCATGCGGCTGCTCTGTTGTGTGTTTTTGTGCGTAAACAAAGACAGCGAAGGACACCTCTAACAGACTTACCAGATGTGCCCGGAGGAGGGAAAAGGGGGGGAAATCTGTTTTCGCAGAGTGACTCTGCTGAGGTCTGTGTAGCAGGTGAAGACGATCTTGCCAAGAACACATATCTCACAGTTGGGCTTTTGTAACACAATCATGGAATAAACAGTTGCACTCAGACTAAATGTCTGAGCTCATCATCAATTCTCCCGCGGGCGAAATAGGTGCTGGTTGTGCCGGGTGGAAAGAACGGACTCTGCAACACAAACATGTTCCTCGGGCCTCAGCCGCGCGGCTGACCGCTAGCTCGCGGCGTGACGCGTCCAGCCGGGAAGCCACTCGGTAATGGCGGAGATAATGGGTCCTTATTACTCTGACCCTTGACCCCTGTTCCTAGCGAGGAGTTTAGGAGCTGG